ATAAAAAAAAAAAAAAAATTATAAAAAAAGAGGTCATTAACATTAGCGACCAGGTCTCAATCTGACCCTGGGTTGCAACCGGGTAGTTTGTATGAGAAAAAGACATTTGTCCAATTTTTATTGGAAAGGTATAATTTTTTGGTTTTAAAAAAATGTATAAAAAATAGTAAATCTCATATTTTTTCAATCTTTACAAATAGAGACCACACTAGATATATTTTGGAACACAAATTGTAATTTATAGATAAATTAAAATAAAATATATATTTAAGTTGAGTTGAGTTGAGAATAAAGAAAAATTGGGTTGTAAGATTGAGTTGTAGGTGGATAAAAAAGAATTTATTTTTAATTATTAAGTTGAGTTGGAAATAAGAATAGTCTAAAAGAAAATCAAGGCGGCGTTTTTTTTCTTCTTCTTGATCTTACCTCTTCCCACAGCCTAAGGAAACAAAAAATGGGGATGACATCTTTCTTCTTGAATCTCATATACATACCATTCCAAACATATAAAATTCAACAGAAATTCAATTATATACAAAATTCGAGCATCTACAATATATTGGGTCTAGTTTTGCCGACGTGTCATGTAATTAAACCCAAGTATTGGATGACGACGTGGATAAAAATATGTAAAATTGACAAATTTTACTTCAATACAAAGAGACTAGGCCTCTATGTGGTTCTAAAATGGACTTAAGGGTAGACTGAATCTATTTTTCTGGCTGTCACATCAGCAAGACTCATTCTACTTTTATTTGTATTGATATATTTTTTAGACTAAGTCTATTTCTTAGGTGACATATAATTTTCGTGGTTGAACCAAAGCATCGTGGACGCTCATATTATGAGTTGATTAAATTATACATATCAACAATTTGGAGGTAGATTAAACAATTTCCTAGTTTGACTTGGTTACTTAAATAAAATCACCTTTTATCTTCTTTATATTACATCTATCATTATATGAAAAGAATAACTTTTTTTACAAATTTAGAAACATACCGTTGTTTGACAGTAAAAATTTGTTTTTTATTTTCTTGTTTTTTAGGTTATCATAAGTATAAAAAACAATGGTAGTTTCTCATAGCATAAATCTACACGAGTTTATCTCTTATCTGTTACAAAATTCATTATATACGTCTGACGAGTTTAAAAATCTCATCCCTTATCTATAGTGATTTAAAAAAATAAAATAAAATTAAAAACCAATTGATATATACTACTAGAAATCCTATATCTACCTTAAAAAATAAATTTTCATCTGTCTAATTACTAATATTCTTACAAATATTATAAACTAACAATACATTCTCGGTAACAACGTAAAAGTATAATAATAATTTTAAAATTATGTGTAATCAAATTTTTTCATCAGATGGAAGTAACGGCATATATAGTAGCTTATAAAATCTCATATCATAAATCTACACGATCTGTTACAAAGTTTAAAAAATCTCATCTCTTATCTATACAGATTTTAAAAAATGAAATAAAAAAAAAACCAATTTATAATTACTACTAGAAATTCATTATCTACTCTAAAAAGCTATTTATCTACCTAATTTCTTTAAAAAATAGTGTAGAAAAATCTTTTTTACACAATGTTAAATTCAAATGTTTTAGAAAAGTAATATAGAAGATTTTGAATATTTTTACATATACTAATATAATTTTAGGTGTTATTAAATCTACAATTTTTTTTTAATTTATAATTATTTTTCTTCCGCTTTTTTTAATACGATCAATAATAGTTTTCACTTCCGTCATTGAGTGTCTCAAACTCGAGGTCTATTTATAATATTGTTAATTTAATATGGTTTCCGTGCGATGCACGGAGTACACACTACTCCTCTCTATATATTATTCCCGAATGCGCTGAGCCTACGTGACTGCTTCTGGTGCTTCGAAATCCTACTTGACATTAAGAATCATGCTTCGTAATTAGGTTTGGACAAATAATATTGATCTATTAATAATTAATAATTTAGGTTTGGACATTCCATAAATATTATTTAGCTAACTTAGGTATTTTAATATCACTTGTACTAATATAACCCTTTATTTCTTTGTAATTTTACATAGTGAGGCAACTAATATATTTCTGACTTTTGATTTGTTTCCTTCAATTAGCTATTGAATTATAAATATATTTTAAAAGTTGATAACTTTTGTATTTCTTATCGGTTTTTACATATATAATATATCAAATTAATCATCTTTTGATGATCTTCGATTTGACATTCATATTGTATATATAAAATAAATAAATTATATTTATCTTTATAATAATAAAAAATAATAATATTTATTAAAATTCATTAGAAAAATAAAATTATTTCTCAATTGATATATTTATGTTTAAAGTAGTTATATGTTGTAAGCTAAAAAAATTATTATAATATAACACATGTAAGTTGCACAAATAAAAAGTGTCATACTAAATATATAATGATATATATATATATATATTTATAAAAGGTATTCTGATAAATTAGCAAGCACTCGTAATACACGGATAGTATTATAAAATTTTGATCTCCTGCCCACGGTGGGCAGTGCCCACCACTTTGTTTTATATGAAAAACGTATTCTG